ACACTAATCCATAACAAACTTTGTTCTGGACATGCATCCCATGCGTTGAAAAACTGTACTCGAAACGCTGTCCGTATCACAATAACTTTTTGATAGAACCACATACCGACAAATTTCAGGTAAATTGGTGGTTTCTATGTATTAAGGGAGAATCATAGACGAAACAATCGTAAATGTTTGAACTATATTTCATCACATCTATTGATAGAATATTACAAGTTGAAAACTATGCAAAACGCTGTAAAACGCGTGTCATACTCTTTCTCTATTATGCACATCTTTTTTGGAATTATATATATAACAAAGGCTTCGACCACTACTTTTTTTTTCACCCCCCCCCCCCTGTGGCGCCCGATACGGGCCATCAAAACATTTTGATTTCCATTGTTTGGTGGGCCGCAAAGTGAAGATCTGGTGCCCGAAATAAAAAAAAAAAACATACATAATCTTATTATCAATCTGCGTATTGTAAATTAATTTGAAAATTGGGCCGGTCTGATGCCACTTGCACAATCTTATTAAACAAACCCCACACACTCGACATTGATGATTGGGCATAGCATTGAATTATCAACATTCCAACGGTATCAAACTTTTCACGCAGAACCCGCATGGTCTGGTTCGCTTGATACAATGTAATCACATGTATGCTGGCGCTTGCAAAAATATGCTATGGCCTGCCAGCCCGACAGATTTTGACCTCTGGCTAGGACTGGGTTCGCGCCGGAACTGTTTCGTCGCGAGCGTGTACATGTCTGCAGAGCCGTGAGGCCGGGTACCAGTTCTAACCACAATTAACGTGGCTTGTTTGCAGCCGCAGTAGAACGGTATAACCGTGCGCCCGGTGTATGGCCGCGCGTAGAATCATGCACGTGCGTACGTGTGCCCTCGCGCTCGCGAAGTTGCTCGTTTCTTTTGAATGTACGATTGATACATAAGAAACAATTTATTTATCACATAGGACACCTTTGAAATTTTGGTGGCGCCGCCTCGGGCACACAAATTTTAACTTTTGGAAAATTTTTGAGTGGTCCCGACATCAAGTTTTGGTGGCCCCGGGCCACCGGGCCACCGCTAGTGTCGAGCCTTGTATATATATATATGTTCCTAACGTTAGTGTGCCCTACATACTGTGTACTTTGTTACTCTGGTGTTTCTGGTATGATTTAAAAGATGCCTTTTTCATACCACATCATTATACAAGCAATCAATATACATATATATATATATATATCCAGTGGAAGTGATGCAAGTGTAACTGAAATGATATGGAAGATGGCCAAATATGGAGCACTGGCCGCGCATAGAAGTGCGCGCGGCAGAGGGAAAAGAAAAGATAACATGGTAGATCCGTGCGCCATAATGAAAGCCACCGCACGGATCCAAAGAAAAGACTAGGTGACAGAAAGTGTTCCTCCTCAGAGTGGCATGTAGGAACCGCCGCAGTATATATAGTCTATTTCACGCAGCTGTCCCTTATTTCCCAGTCCACTGCGCCTTGATGAACAGTACTAGTAGAGTCCACTAAGCAATTGCACTGGTTAACGAAGCCTGCCAAAGGCCGTGTCACAGACGGGGCGCGGGGGCGGTACCAGGAACAGTACAGCGCAGTGAGGGGGGGAGCCGATGTGTATATCAGTGTTATCACTGACGAATTAACCATGCACGGGCACCGCCCCGTCTGTCACACGGCCTTTGGCAGGCTTCGTTAACGAGTGCAAATGCTTCGTGGACTCTACTAGTACTAGTACGAAATATATTCAATAATATGCCACTTATTATATGCGAAAATGTACTTAGCCTATTAGGCCTAGGCCCTAATACTTTGTCAATTACAATAATATGAAATATGGCATACCCTTGGCGAGCGTCATTACTGACATTAGTCATTACATTACCTCAGTCTCAGACTCAGTCTCAGACTTTTGCGTAGTAGATTTATACATGTTTACATTTCTTTCTAGATGGACTTATATAATATATTACTAAACTGGTCCAGTAGAGTCCATATATATGTCCAGTAGTCAATATATTTCGGAGTAAATAAGGCTACGTGTGTTGAAATGTATATCGAATTAACAGCGGTAAATTCGGTGACATGCGGGCTGACATATTGTCTTCCCACTACGCATTGCGCAGCACAGCCTGTAGCACGACTTAAACATAGACTGGTATGCTGCAGTTCGCTGCATGTCTATGGAGCTTGTGACAAGGGCTTGGAAACATTCTAGGCCTATTTTCACATTTGACATGGATTCTTCCGCTCACTCAAGATAGATGAAATAGATCTATTTCTATTTTCATTTTCACAAGAAGTGCACAAAATTTAACGAACTACAGCTTGTGATCTTCTATTTACATACCATATCGGAAAAACACAAGTTTGCTTCGAACTGTTCGATTACCAAACTTAACCGCTTTTCGAGCGATCGACATAAATAGTAGAATTTGTATTGAGTAGTGATCGCCGTCTCGGTGCAAGTAGTCCGCTTCGCGGACGAGTATCGTTTCACTCATTGTTAGGCGCGAACATCAAGAGTACATAATAGGAGAAAAGTATGACACTGTTTTAACAGCGTTTTGCGTAGATTTCAACTTGAATTTATTCTATCAATATGTGAATAAATATATTCAAACTTTACCTTGTTTCTCTCCCCGTGCTCGATGCTCCCTAAAGCATACAGCCCATTTAGCTGCAATATTCAGAGCGAATTGCTGAGATAGTAACATGGCCCCTTGTGCTAGTCATACAGAAATACACATACCTTTACATCGCAATCTACGCGTGATAGTTCCGCTCCAATACGTCGACGAGCAGTGTTACTTAAAGACACATGTCCGCAATTGAAATCCTCGCCGCGGAGTCCGAATCGAATATCAGTTATGCTTTAGGGAGCGCAGCCGGACAGACGGGACGTAGGAGAACAGGCACGGAAGTGGAGGCAGAGTAGCACGTTTAACAAGAGACGAGTGCCAGAGGCAGAGTAAGAGCGTGTAGAGAGCGATGAGAATGCGCAAGTGATAGGGACATGTGGGCGGCCGGGCACCGTTGGTAGAGAAATTGCGAGCTCGGAGGGGAGGACTCAAGTGACGGAGTACAGCGAGAATTCAAACAGGCATTGGTTGGAGTATTGGGAAGAGGATCCACAGGAAGGAGCCGAAATAAGAAAGAGGATCACGAGCGTCTATACAACATGAGAACGCCGCACAGCGACCCTACATCGCTTCATCGGCTTCATCGTTTGGTAAAAATCGCGCCTCCTTCTGGTTGTGGCGGAGGCCTACTATCTCAGCAGGCTTTCAAAACCCTCCCGCTTCCTCCGCCCACCTCTCGGCAATACATCGGCCGCTCTCGCCGTGGCGTGTATACTAGATCTACTAGCTCCAGCGGCCAACCCACGACATTTTCGGCAATCTGCATGGTCCTCTGCCCCCTCCTCTCTCCCCAGCGTACCAACGCAATGCTACATCAGTGATTTCCGTAAACGACGGACGTTCGTGAATAAAAACCTGTTTTGTCAGAGCTGTCCATGTGCGTGCCTGATTAGTAGGAGTACTGTGTTGTTTAGCTATCCCATCTGCCATGTTTTCGTGCCGTGGTTAATTCCGCTGACACCTGTCCCTTCATCTGCGTCCAAAACATACGGCCCGCACAAATGGTTTGACGTCATCGCATCGACTCCGTGAATATACATTACTGCACTAATGAATATCAACAACCAGTGTTTGCTTGTACATGTCACCAGCAGAGATATTTCGAAGCAAACTAATCACGCGTTGGCTACTAAGGGTTATGCGGCAGACTTATTAACTACCGTCCCCAAGGTGCCAAGTTACTCTAGCGAGTCGTCAACATTGCATAACTGCGCCTAAGTATGGCTTTAATCCATACTGACACCGACACAGTTAGCCTGAAATCTGTATGTGGTCTTCAAAAAAGTATTCGAAACGACACGGTTCAGCACATGTTTCCCATAATGCTGGCATCTTATTGGCCAAAGTTGATAGGCGCGGCACGCCAGGTGTACCTACGGACGCCTTGGGGCTGTTGGGGATATGAGGTAAAGCACCAGTAAGCAGCACTTGTTTGTTGGCTTCCTCTATCATCCAGAAATCACGATGGTAACACAACTAAAATCAGCTGCTAGCTCGCAGTGAGCACACATTTATTTCTAGCACGCTGGAAACGCATTACACCCTGAATACAATCAATGCCTAATATTTCCAACAGCTCCCAGCGGCCCATCACAGACAATAGAACACTAATCCAATAACAAACATTGGCCGTTAAGATGTGAATGGTTGGGGAAACTGTGTGAAACCGTGTCGTATTCAAAGAACTTTTTTGAAAAACACATGATTTTCAGGTAAATTCGTGGTGTCATATGATTAAGGGAGAATCATAGTCTAGACGAAAACAAGGTAGTTTGAATATATTTATTCACATATTGATAGAATATTTTCAAGTTGAAAACTATGCAAAACGCTGTTAAAACGGTGTCATACTTTTCTCCTATTATGTACTCTTGATATATATATTATATAATTATGTATTTAAACAATTAATTTTTAATTGTATGTTCATATTACTTCATATGCACCCCAAAATAATCAGCATCAACGCACCTTTAATTAAATAATATAAGTAAAAAGAGGAAAAGAGGGTTTGAGTTGGGCATTGTGTGGCATACAATTTATACTGTATGCTTTTCCGGGAACACATTGCTTTTGTAACCCGTGGAATTGCTGTATTGTACACACATCTAGCTTTGTTACGTGCCTACTAATTTTTAATACATTATGCAAATAAAATCTGTATGGTTTTGCTGTTTAAATATAACAATAGCTGCTCAGCTGTTATATTAGCAGCAAAAAATTACTTAAGCTGGTTGTACCTGCAACCTCCCCTAGAGCCCACCCACACCCCACATCACACACACTTAAGAGCCCTTTATCAGGAATGTAAAAAATAATAAACTTTCACAAACAGAAATACTAACCTCTTCTACAGATTTAGGTTCCGGCGGTGGTGGAGGCGGCACTGCAAGGAAAATAAAAACAAAATGTAACACAAATTAAAATTAAAACTACAGTTAAAAAAAAGAGTTGTCTGGAATTAATTCACCAGTTATAACGATACTTGAAGATACATCACATTTCAAGTTTCCCTAATCATAAAGAAAGAAGCCTCTAACCATTTTAATATATATATATATATCAAGAGCTAATAAATACCTAGAGTGTTGTACAACGGGAAAACGGGAAAATAGTGCTATTTCACGGCAATATTATTCTACTTTGTATGCGGTTCTAGACTAAGTTCAGGGTATTGCGTTAAGCAGCATTCTTTGCTCTCTAAAATAAGACCAACCGCTTGTCTCTATGATACTCCTAGGCCGAGATATTGGAGCATAATCATGCCTCCCACAGGCCTCACGCCGTCTCGCATCCACAATATTCACTATCCTTCTCGCCATTTGCGAGTCTGACTATCGTTTTCCGTCGCCACTTGGAGCGCTGATAATTGATGTCACATGCCCAAATTTGGTACTCTCACTACACCATATAGTAAATGAGCTGCGTTGTGGAGACTTAATTTTAAAAACATTGCCGGCTCCATCGTGACAGGCATTAGCCGTGCTAGGAAAGATAATGGGAGATAAGGGCATAGGCGATGCCCCCGAAAGTCAGCGATGATAACCGAAACGCTGTTCATTCATAAAGTTATCGCGGAAAAAACCGAACTCTCCCGAAGCGACTTTCCTAACCCGCAAAAGGCTAGAAGGATAGTGAATATTGTGGATGCGAGGCGCCGTGAGGCCTGTGGGGGGGGGGGAGGGGAGTTTACGAGCCAATATCTCAGCCTAGGAGTATCGTATTGACAAGCAGTTGCGTCTTGTTTTAGAGAGCAAAAGAATTCGTGCTTAAGCAATACCATAAATGTATTCTAGACTCGCAGGCCAAAGTAGAATAATTATTTCCGTGAAATGCGCCCACTATTTTCCCGGTTTTTCCGTTGTACACTCTAGCGTGATTTATCTCACGGAATACTAAGCTGCGTAACTCCGCTGCGGCTGTGTCCGGCCGGGTAAAAATCGTTTGCTGACTAATTTATATACTCTTACTAATAATTGGGACACAAGGTAGGAACATTGGGTTAAACATGCGACAATGGACATTGCACCCAATATCAATATTTAGCAATCGGATCTAATAAGCATAATAAAGCATGGGCGAAAGAAACTGTTACGTATGACATTTATATGACAGCACAACCGAACTTAGAACACCTGAGACAGTAATACTTCAATAGTAATTTATGGCTCATAGCGGTCTTTATCGTCTCCCCAGGTATACCGGAACGTACCTGGTGGCCTATTTGATAGTGGTGTAGGCGTTAGGGTTGGCGGTTAGGGAGTAGGCGTAGGACGACTCCCTTAGACTCGTTAGTGGAGTAGGCGACGCGTACGCGCTCCGGCACTAATTAGATAGTACCAGGGTAACGCCTTCGGAGTATTACCACCGTACCCAGCGGTACGGTTCCCGGCAGTTATCCCGTGGGGGGGGGCGGGGGAGGGGGACACAGACCCTCTCAGCCCAGGTTATATGGAGTAAATGACAAAAAGCCTATTTGTTATATAACAGCATTGTACGAATTGGGGTTGGACTTTTCGTTTCCAAAGACTCTTGATTAAACAATGTTTTTGTGTATTCTCTGGTGGAAATATGTAGAGATTCGTCGGTATCCAACTGTTAAAGCTTTCCCCACTTACAGCTATCCATTGTGAGCATTCGTTACGCGGAATAAAAAAGAAATTCCGATATATAAGCCAAACAAAAAAAAAATAAAAAACACAAAAACTATAGATAGAGACAGGCCAGCGCAGTGGAGGTCTGTGTCCACTGGATTATTGTTTAGTGAATTTTGCGCGATTGCAACGCATGCCCACATTTAAAATTAACAAATTTTTGTATTGAATCAGAATAAATTCAGTAGCTTTGGAATGGCCATACAGATGCATTCTCAGATCGGAGCATCTGAACGAAACTGTGGAACTGCAGAGTGAGTAGTACCTCTGGAACTGGCTCCGTGCCGTGTTATGCGCCCCCTCTGTTTTTTTTTTAGTTCATCGCATTTCCGTTTCGGGTTTTTCACAATGACCACAGCCACGCTGATGAGATCATGAGGTGAGGGCAAGAAAATCAATTAGCCATTTAGCTTGTGCTGACATTGTGTGAGATTGCGGAATTGACAGGGGTCTTTTTCACAGATCTTCTTTTCGGCCGAGATTTTGACGTTTTGACAGGTTTTTTTAGCTTACGAACACGCCCGGGTATAGAGATGCCGCCCTGTGAAAATTGCATCCAGATCGCTTGGGCGGTTTGGCCGCCTATAGGGAAGATACATAGATACATACATACGAACTCAAATATATATTAGATTAGCTCTTGATATATATACATATACATCAGTAGTCAGTACTATGTTATAAGAGCAGAATAATTCCTTATAGTAACGATTAGAACTATTAGTCAGTCTACGGAAATATGAAAGTTCATGTTTAATTTGAACTGTTTCTGACTATCTCTACTACTCAAGTAATTCTCTACTACTACTCAAGTACAGAGTTTGTTAGTAGTTAGTACAAGTACAGTATAGAGTTATAAGTTGAGTTATCCTGTTTGTGTTAGTCTAAGATTTGTAGAGTTGTAAGCCACATAGAAGTGTGTTATGCTAGTGTTAGGATAAACACCGTATTATAAAAGGCTTTGAATACCAGTTACAGGAATGTATGTATATATGCGGGTTATTTTCATAACAGTACCTGACAAAACCATGACTACTATTCCACGTCAATTATAGACACAGGGACTCGATTGTATATTAACCAGGGTGATTCCAACTCCGTATAAGTTAAGTTGAGTTTCTAATTTGATATTTAGCAAACGTCAAATTGAAATAATCTTTTTGTTGGAAAAGGGGAGCGATTGTAGTGTTTAAGCCTGAGGTCAGCTGAAACGTAAACTAACGCTGAGAGGGTCTATGTCCCCCTAGAGTACTGCTGGAACGTACCCTGGTACTGTTTAATATGCCGCACCGTACCTACGCCTAATCCCTAACCCGAACCCTAACCATATCAAATAGTTACCAGGGTACGTTCCGGCAGTACCCTGGGGGACATAGACCCTATGAGCTAAACTAACCGTTCCACAAACGTAAACAGAAAGTAGAACAGAAACGTATTGCGTATACACCGATTGGCATGAGCTTGTGAATAGAGCAGCATGGTGGTTAGAACCGATTTTATTATCTGAGGTATCGTGACTGTTAAGTTTAGGTTTTGCAATTTTATTATGTTTGCACACGCACATTTTATATTACTTATTACTAGTTCGGTCGGGTTAGTAGTTGCTGAAAAAGTACTAGTAATATGTTATCTGGTAGGCATTCCCACTCGCCAACAGGGCTGGTCAGCCCAGACATTCTACTAGCCCTTACTGATTTCTACTAGCCTCGGGCGAGCGGGCGAGCGTTAGTTTCAAGCCCTGATTTACATGCTGAAGCCCTCAAGAAAATTCAAAAATTGCATGCATCTAAAAAATAAGCATACTTACAATCCCCAGAATCTGTTATTCTCATCAGTTCCTTGATAAGAGCAGGTTCAAAGTACCTCTGCTTCATCCAGATGCTCAAAACCTTTCGTACCTTGCCCTGGGCAAGCCGGTTTCGTTAACATCACATACAATGCAACATCATTTATCAATAAACTATATTCAATAAGGTAATAAGACAATCCACTTCTATGACTAGCAATTTAACTTCCAATCTTGCTGGTGGAAATGAAAGCAAATTACCACGCTACCAGTTACACTACTGAAACCGATTCACGTGTGAAAGCGAGTTAAATAATCAGCATTTTTATTAAGTGCTAGAAACTGGACTAACGACAAAGGTGATCACAGTTTTACACTTATAATATATATATATATATATATATATATATATATATTTACACATACTCTCTCATCAGGCAGGCATTGCATGATGTTGGTGAATGTGGTTGGGAAGTTTTTCGCAAATCTGGGTCCAAAAAGATCTTTATCTGCTCCGAACTGGTGTCGAGACTGCTTCACAATTGAGTCGATAACATAGAGCCCAGGAACTTTGTACACGGGTGGACACTGAAAACAGAGAAAGCTTGCAATAGTTGTTGACCTTACCAGTGGGTACGAAATTCTCGCTAAACTAAAATCCCGCATATAAACATTTAATTTGCCTACTGACATTCCACGGCAGAAAACTTGCAATTGTCTTACTACATAAATAGCTAATAATATGTGTAGAGACACAAAGAACTATATGCTGACACAACTGCATGAGCAGAGATAGACATTGAGCCCGCCACACATGCTGTGGAAGTTGCTGCGCCATCGTGGTCGATTGCGCAGCAACTTCCACAGCGTGTGCGGATGCAAAATCCCTCGATCTGCGTCGTGTGGAAAATATCACACGTGTTTGATATTTTCTTCCACGTGTGGAAGTTTGAACAGCGTGTGCGGAATGGCTGTGTAAATTTCCACACGCAATTCGCATTGTTCGCTTGATTGTTCGCTTGGATGCATTGTATTTTTTTCTCAGCTCGCAGCTCGCACATCAGGCAGCTCGCATATATGTATGTGCAAAATGTAAAAATATAATTTTTTTTTTAAATAAAAAAAATCCCAACGTGATATCGATCGGTGAATGTATTGATTTGACTTTGAAGTCATTATATGGGCTGTTATAAGTATAAACAAGTATTGTTAGAATACAAAAAAAAAACGTTAACAAAAACAAACCTCTTTTTTAAGGCCTAATAACCAGCAGTATACAATTTTTGACCTAAATGCAATATAACGGATAATGAAAATCTGTGCAGATCTACCAAAACACACCAATAAGATCAAATAAATGTATTATAATGACCACTATTAAATTTTCATCATTGTGGTTTGATATAAAATTCACAAATGCTACCAATATATATGCACACTAAGTAGAGGCATTAACAGTAAAAATGTTACATCATCACTTGACCAAACCAAGGCATTTAAATTAATGAAAATTTACCTTAGCGAGAAACTTCTCTACATTGTACACAACATGCTTGTAGAATTTGCCTGCCTTCATGGCTCCTTTTGTGACGGCAATCATCTTAGCCTTTGAGAGAGGCGGTTTATTTTCATAGACACTCGCCAACTGGAAAAAATCAAGAAGGTAGTGCTCAGTGGAAATTATCATCACCAACTGTAGCCGTAGAAATCAACCTAGAATCACACGTTAATAAATAATACACAATAATAACCAGTATAAATAAACCATTTACATTAGCTGAGATCAGGTTCTGTTTACTCAGTGTGTACATACATCTAGACAGCTTAAATGTACACAAATCACAATTCTTAACTCTCATATTATACATTCAAAATGTTTGGTACTAAATCAAATAGAAACTATTAGCAGATGGAGGACTTGATTGGAAAGAACAAGATCACTTTGGGTAATGAAGAATTAATCTTAGGGTTGACAATAATATTTTAATTACTATCCATCCATAATTTTTCCAGATTGCCTCTAAAAACTCCAAATGAAAGTATTTAGTTTCACAATGCCTTGTGGTATCCCTAATTTATTTTACTACAAACTTCAAGATATAAAATATAAGAATAAAAAACAAAATTACTGCATATTAATTTCAATACAATACATAAAATTGCTACCATGGAAAGGAAGTTAATTTTAATCTTTGTTAAAACTTTATTGCACCCCAAATCTTGCTTCCCCACAAATTTTAGCAAATCATATTTCATACTTGTATAAATATAAACAATTAGTCTGATATTATGCTGCTGGCCTGAACAAACAAGAGACGCACAGGAAAGGAGAAAAATAAGCAATCATTTGAAATGCTGCTTGATTAAAATGTACATTAGTTATTTTTATGTGGCCATTACCTTTGGGATCGGGGTCCATTTTTTATGATGGGAACTTTATCATTACAAAAATGATTACAATAATTTTTCAATTATTTCTCATGTTTGCAAATAATAGACAAGCTGAAGTGTTTGCGTTTCCTGCTCGTTTAGTGCAGCAATGCCACAAATCCAAGTTAGTTTTCACTTTTTCTAAATTCTAGTTCTAGGTTAAAATATACAATTATCCATCACTCCTTAACCAGCACAAGAACATGACTTCCATCCAATTGACAGTCGTAAATCTACCACTGAAGTATTCATTGTAACTTGTTATTATTGTGTCAAAACCATAATATTTTTATGCTGTGGTAGTTGCTATCATAGCATTGGTTAAATGTATTATTGATTGCAGTAAAAAGGGTTTTGCTGTTTGACATCCACAAATGACAATAAATATCAGTGTAATATAATTAAGTCAAACACAGTAAATTGGCTCCAAACACACTATGTTACTGCAGTATGTACATACCAAATGAACATCAGTGGTGAGCCACTGATTTCACTGTCACAAAGCCTTACCAACCAGAAATACTATTTCATCACATTTCACCAACTGCATTCACGACACAGCACAGTATATGTATATAGTATATATGTATATAGTATATATGTATATATAGTACAGTTGCAATTATACACTAACCACAACGTACCAATACTGCATTACTTATTACTTACCACCACATAACATGTGGGCACTTGCACTAGGTACAGTGCTTAATAAATTGGTGCAAAATATAGAAGTAATTCTAGTGGGCCAGATATAAAATCTATTTGTTTGTCTAATAGTCCTAGAGTAAAGCACGCTTGTTCATACTGCTATAGTACTGACTACCAAGTATTGTGTAAGTGGCCAAGCCAACTTAAGGACAACATTCAGTATAACTTGAGCCTACGTTTGGACCCCGGTGCAAAATTCAACACCAACATCACTTTATAACAAATTCTAACCCAACAACATGATTACAAACCAGGGTCCTGAAGTAGGCTTCAATTGTCAGTATTAACGAATTGCTGGGTATGTCCTGACTGGTGGGAACGATGATGTTACGTGAAAGTATATTGACATCATTGGGCGCATTTGTTTGGGCGGATCACATGATCCTGATCACACGGATCCAGTGATCCTGCACATTTGTTTAGGCTGATCAGTGATCCGGATCACAAATTCCTGAGTCTGCTTGTGCTTGCGAGGTGGATTCACAGGGAATCCAATATGGCGTCGTGCAATCCAGCCAATTGCTGCTTGTTGTTTTTTATGAACCATCCTGTGATAGTTCACAGCAAAATGTTAACTATTGAAAGTGAGTTTACCTTTGTTTGGGCAGACCTGGATCAAGTCACATTCACTTGGAGCGTTTCAATAAAATATAATGCTAAATAAATACGAAATCTATTTACTACCAAAGTCTTAATGTTTCTATACTCTCTTTCACCTATTATTGCCGACAATTTCCTGTAAATGCCGTCCAAATGCTCATCTACAACAAACACTGGCTGCTGCGGCACACTGACACATAAATATATAGCAGGTAGGAAAGCGTGCTGCCAAAATTCGCTCGACGCTCGCTTGATTTCACACAAATACAACACAAATATTCAACCATTCTACTCCACCTTTATTTCTATTTGAAGAACAGTCTTCACTTGTTATAAAAACATACTGTCTTTGTTCGTAACCGAGCTGTGTCACGCGAAATCACACAAAGACTGACGAAATTCTCGCGTTCGCTCACGTCGCGCAGTTTATGTAAATGGCTGCAAGTACAGGGCTATAAGCGGCACACTGCATTTTGGCAAACTACCACGCCGAGCTTTCCAACTCCCGTACGAGCCTCATCAAAGCCGCCAGTGGAGCGTTGCAATAATGCGGTGCAAAAATGAGGTCACAAACAGCGCCGGTGGGCGTTTCCTGATTCCGACAGCCAATTACATAAACTGCGCAATGGGAGCGAACGCGAAAATTTCGTCAGGCTTTGTGTGATTTTGCATGACACAGCTCGGTTACTAACACAGACAGTATGTTTTTATAACAAGTGAACAGTCTTTCAAAAAGAAACAAAGATGGAGTGGAATGGTTGAAAGTTTGTGTTGTATTCGCGTGAAATCAAGCGAGCGTCGAGCGAATTTTGGCAGCACGCTTTCCTACCTGCTATACATTTGTGTCAGTGTGCAGCGGCAGACATTTGGACGGAGTTTGTAGGAAATTGTCGGCAATAATAGGTGAAAGAGAGTATAGAAACATTAAGACTTTAGTAGTAAATATATTTCGTATTTATTTAGCATTATATTTTATTGAAACGCTCCAACTTCCAAGTTCACGTGGATCAAGTTATCCTGATCAGACGGATTCGTCCCAAACAAACTCGCCCATTGTTATGCAAGTTGCAGATGTCAAGACTGATGTCAAGGTATTTGATAACACTCTCAAGGAGATGCCAACTATGACGTGTCAGTTTAAAACAGGCGTCATAAATAACCAGGCCGAAATGATAGTTGACTACATTAGCCAGGAATGCAGTAAACCGACTGCACACAATACATGCGCTCGTGCAACCGCGATCATGCAATGCCGTTTCTTGTATTGCCATCGTGGGTTCGTTCAACGGATTGTATACGTATAATAATTCGTATTACTGTACTACTTTCACTACCTCATTGCCGAAGGCTGTTACAGCTTCCATGATTAAAACAAATTGTTGGTTTAGCTATCCTACTTTTAGGAAACAACCCAACAAGAATGTCGGCGATGACAATTCGCAAAAACGTAGAAAATGGCGCTAATGTCATGGGTGTAGTGGCTCCCTCGCGCGATAGAAATATGAAACCAAAATCCACAGAGGAACCTAGAACCACTGTGTTGATTTTTGGCAACCATTATATATACATTTTCGTAGTTATTTATACATTTTCGTTATTATTTATACATACACATACGTTTTCCAAATAACAAAAAAGTAATGTCGCAATTTTACTTATTTCCATGTCGAATAACTAACAATTAATGTGCACGTTATGACGCCATAAAGACACGCTCGCGCATACATAAGGATAATCGTCACAAGCCATATCACAATTAAGCCATCGTCATATGCTTTCATTTGATATCAATAATTGTATGGGCATATCTCGTGGCTATATCATGTAATCAGACATCTATGTAAACGAGCGCGCGTAAAGGCAAACTAAACCATGGGGATGAGGCTGTAACAGTTGCCAAAAACTATGACGCTATACAGGATATATACAATTTTCTGTCTGAAAGCCCTAATTATTTTTACATTCAGTGGCAAAATGTTGTGTCAATTGAAATAAAATACACACACACACACACACACACACACACACACACACACACACACACACACACACCACACACACACACACACACACACACACACACACACACACACACACACACACACACACACACACACACACACACGACACACCGACGCACCGACGCACAGAGAAAGAGGAGAAAGAGAGAGAGAGAGATGGAGAGAGAGGAGAGAGAGAGAGAGAGAGCAGAGAGAGAGAGGAGAGGAGGAGAGGATGAGAGAGAAGAGAGAGAAAAGAGAGAAAGCCGAGAGAGAGACGAGAGTTGGAGAGAGGCAGAGAGAGAGAGAGAGAGATTCAATTTTCAATTCAATTCAAAAATTTATTTATCACCCAATTAGCAAGGATCAATGATACAGAAAACATTTAATGTGAGGGTGAAGGCGGTAGCGAAAGGACCATAGGGTCATCCGGAGTCAGCCTATCCCTTTATACTGTACCAAGGGTAGACCCCATTTAAATATTAATAGGTGTGAGCACTAGATATTCGTGGTATAGCAAATTAGGAAAAAGTGAGATAAATTTTGCAAATACAAGTTAGTAATGGTTGCAGTATATACAGTGATACAAAACTAGAACAGTAATCAGTTTTACAGCGATCGTTTAGGCTTTTACCATAAATAATTTCGTTACAGAAGAATATATATGAATTTGATAACTTAAGTTGGACTAGGATAACTTCAACATCTTGGGGTTACAGTATATACAGGAACAGGCATAAAAAAATTAATATCTCACTCCACCTCCCCACTTCCCACCAAAGAAACATTTATACGAGCCGTAATAATAAATTTAGATAAGTACATTCTCGCAGAAAGCTGGTTATTACCTTATTAATCACGGAATAGTCGATTAAGGTAATCAGGAGCATTATTGTGTTAGTTAATTATGAGTCCATGGTTTAAATGTAATACAAAAAATAAATAATTATATCAGTAATATAAACCCGGATTGATTACTGGTCAAACAAAAAAGAGAGAAACGATAACAATGTTGCTCAGCAAGGTGTTTACATCCACAAGGTAAGTCAAGTAATGGTGCAGATATATGTGATACACACCAGGAACAGTAATCAGTTTATTAGTTTCAATATAGGCTCAATAAATAATTTTGTTTACCGAGAAGATATTTGATTTGATAATTTAAGTTCGAGATTAAGAATAATTCACATATTGGTATAGTAATATACAGTTATTACAGAACTGGCATAAAAAAAAAACTATACAGGGATCATATATTACCTCGGATTTGGTACTGATCAAAACAAAAAAAAGAGAGAGAGCGATTAACATTCTGCTCATCAAGGGGCTACATCACATGGTAGTCAGTTAGGTAAGCTCTAATTCCCTCGTTTTTGGTTGGTCGTTCCTTCTTCATTCCACAGAAATAACAGATTCTTAATTTTCGGAACGTTTATAGAAATTAGAAATAAACAGTTTTGATTACATATAAATCATATACAAAATAAATAATACATCATATAATATAGTTAATATTTACAGTATGGAATTTGAGGTAGCTATACCGCAAACGTAGGGCCACGGAATGCGAATCCTAACAATATACGGTTATGGTATACAATTATACGGGGTATGGGTTACGAATATATGGGTTTACAATTATATGGTTTACAAAGTGTGATTTGGCGTTTGAGGTAATATGCTAAGTAATAATTGAATAGTTATGGAACAAGAATAATTTTGACAGATAGGATATGTTTATATTTGTATTTCTCGCTTGATTTTAAAGAGCAGTTGGTGAATCCAGAGTAGATCATTCCATAACTCGTCCTTTGAAAGAGAGAGAGAGAAGAGAAGACGAGAAGAGAGAGAGAGAGAGAGGAGAGAGAGAGAGAGAGAGAGAGAGAGAAGAGAGAGAGAGAGAGAGAGCAGGAGAGTGAGAGATGAAGAGCAGGAGAGAGAAGACGAGAGAGAGAGGAGAGAGAGAGAGAGAGAGAAGAGAGACGAGGAGAGAGAGAGAGAGAGAGAGGGGAGACAGTATACACGCACGGCGCACGCACGCACGCACGCGTAAAGCCTCGTGCACAACTAGCCCACGACGGGGCATCTTTGTGCCACGACACGACAGGAAAATTTGGAGCAAATCGTGGCGTCCATCGGGGGTTTCGCCGCAGACAAAGTCCTACGAAAATTTTGAGCATCGTGGCATCGACTTGGCCGTCGTGAGGCAAAATTAAAACATGGCACTTTTTTTTTCCCACGATTTTTGTGGTATCTACAGTATGTCTTTCTGGTTGTCGTGAGGTCTGTCCTACTATTAGTCTTTGCAACTTGTCGTGGATAATACGTCGTTATATTAGTCGGGAGACGGGACGCAGCGAGCGTTCCCACGAGTGACCCACGACTGTTGTGCGGACAGTCGCACGGACTGTAGCATCGCGCATCCCACGAGTGAAGCCACGACCTGTTCATTGTGAAACACAACAGCCCCCCGACAATTGCCAACACTCAACGGACTGGTGCGCAACGACTGACTGGCGAACACACAACGACATAACCACGAACATCAATTCTTTTTTTTCTGTCGCGTCCCCATGGGCGCAAACCAATTTAATGATGTAAGTAGCCATTGTGACACTCGAAATACCATTTCGGGCATTGTTCAAGATCTGGCGCCACGAACAAATATGAATATGGCGTCTACCCACGATCAAAATTTCATACGATCTGTTGTGACCCGGGCTTTACCCACACACACAAACACACACACGCGCGCATAATCACAGGTGCGCATACGCGCACGCACACGGACGGGCACGCACGCACGCGGCGGGCAGCGAATTTTGCGATTCCAACCGTTTATAGCTTTGGAAGCAAAAATTTGGAGCACGTGATTGCGCTAGAACAATTGTTTAAGGACACGCATTATTAGTCAACAGAGCTGAATATATTAAAATTATAACGCTAAATATTATAAAGAAATATATTTAATTCAGAACATAAACAAAAGTTACAGAACAAATAAATGCAGAACACAAATAAAATACAAAGAAATACATAACGCAGAGGAAAATAAAGAACCCACCAACACTATGCGTTCGAACGCGACCTAGCGTCAAACGACATTCACGAATTGAGTATTAATATCTGGTGGGTTTCCTCTTAAGTGGCGTATGTACTCTTCATGTGGACAGAATATATATTTAGTCTACTTTTAGCTCATAATTATGATAATTTGGTGTACTCACGAGATTAGTGAGATATTTCCCTTCGTAAAGACCCTAAACATTTAATCATAACTCCTAACGCCGAATCCGTAACCCTAAGACCGTTTAAATGCCCTTAATTATTTCATAAAAAATTTAAATAGCGCTATTATAAGTTAGCCAGTATTAAGGATATATATAATAAGTTAAGTAGCAAATAACTTAATATTACTAACTCCCTGTGACAATATCGATGGCAGCGGATGCGCCGCGATGAGGCAAACATAGCATCTGTGCGTGCGATAGTGGGCGTGTCTAAACATTTCTAGCCATCGCGATTGCTCAATTTTATCTTCCGATAAGCTATTTACGGTTTTGGGAATCGCCAAATCGCGCCGGCACGCGAGCACACGCACGCAAATACGTTTTATACAAATTGTTCCTGCACTAATATAGCATCAAGGACTATTGCATGTTGGAACCGGCGATGGTCAGTAGCAACAGTGGAGCTTTTGCCCCGTAGGGCCTCTACTTCACGCTACCGCGTCGCCTCTTACATTTCATACGCGTTAATTCATCACGCGTTAAGGTTCTCTACTTCCACACACTCTACTTCACACGCGCGCGGCACATAGTGCCCGTTTCGCCAATTCGTGTTTTGCATTTTCTATTTTGGAATATCACGAATACCACATATGTCGCAGTTAATTCCGCATACTCGGTGGTATTCCGAAGATAGGTTACTTCCCAGCAAACACGGAACATTTCGTAACATTCCGCTGGAGGTTCTAAGTTTGGTTACAGTAACCAAAAAATATTCTAAAAGCCACCTCTGCCATTATCGTTTAGGCCATTCATTGTTTTTTACTTGCGTGAAAGAGAAGTTATGTTCTTGGAATGTTCGGGAAACGTTTAACCGTCCTCGGATGGGTTCGAAACTCCGTTAAGTGGCCGTTTTTTGTGATGTTGCAACTAATTAAGCCACAAGGTATCAAATGATATTTTTGTTGCGCAGTGGCGTACGGGGACGGTAGCCGTATCTTAAATGTCTCCTAGGTACGGGTACCGGTAGTCATTTGCGCGATGCATCGCTTTCCCACAAAATAATGTCGCACCTAGCTATTAATTAATCTCCAGCCTAGTAATTAATTAATTTAATTAATTATTATTTAATTATTAATTAGCTAGCCTACACTAGTTGTTTGGGATTGATTTTGTCAGTTCAGAAACAGTTCAGGTCAGTTTGTTATGAAAAGCCAAAGGTTATATACACC